CTGAACCCAACCCAGCAAAGACAGGAAGACCCTGTAGTTTGGGTTAACCTCCGGTGATTTTGGCTTCTAGGGCAGCTGAGGGTTGTACTGAAGCATAACAGCACGCCAAAATGGGTTCCCGTGTCCCCCAGTTCAGGTGCGTCCTAGGAACCCCATCTCTCTGGGGCTGCCTGATGTGGGGCCAGGCTTCCTGCTGCCTGAAAACTCACAGAAGATTTGGTGGAAATATGGTAGGAAACGAAATGCTTTGGGTGGAAAGGGTCCCTGCCAATATATGTGCTCCAGTGAAGCTCTGTGACTTCAGTCATGTAGAAGACATGCAGTGCTATAAACCATCCAGCACGATATCTTCCATTTTAATTTTTCACGGTGATGTAGCTAGTTCAGGATGCATGATGCTACTCCTCACACTCCCCTGGTCTGCATCACAGAATGGTAGGGGTTGGAAGGGACCTCTGTTGTGGATCATCTAGTCCAACCCCGCTGCCGAAGCAGGGTCACCCAGAGCAGGCTGCACATCTTTGTTGCTAAAATTTCGACATATTTGATGCACCTAGATGGGGGAAAAACGTAGCAGAGTTGGAAAACTTTAACCTGTTTCAAGAGCATCACTTGAGATGGGTTTTAGAGAGATGTACTCCCATCCAAGAGCTTCACAGCAGCTCATAGGAGCAGAGCTGCTCGGGGCTCCGCGCGCAGCCGTTGGAGCAACGCTGGCCATGCAGCCCGCACCGCTGCTGCTGTAGGAGGGTAGGTGACGTATGAGGTGTGTAAGTAGCCAGCTCTTCCAAAGCATAAAGCTGTAGCTGTGAATCTGAAATAAATTAATATTGTTGAAATTAATGAACTGAGAAATTGAAGTTCACATCACTACACGAACAAATTTATTAATATCTGTTGTACATAAATTAATGAGAAATATCATTATGGCAAAAATTAAACAACACTAAAATTAAAGACTGTCTGAATGACGTTTCTACCAAAGAGTTAAGTAGGGAAAAAGCAGTAGTTGTTGGCACCTCAGTCTTTATCTGTTAAAAAAAAAAGAGGAGATGGCTGGTCAGGGGTACTAATCTGTCATTTTATGGCGCTTGGTCTCCAGAGCTGAGGGCAGGTGTAGGGTACTTGGCTTTGGTCTGAGAGAGGCCTCGACTTGCTTGGCCCTGCTCTTCTCGTAAAGTAGAGTCGTGGAAACGGAGGTTTTCTGCCCAGGTGGCAGGCCTGGGCGTGATGCGGTGGTTGATGGGGTTCCCGCTTGGGGGACATCCCCGAGGAATGCCTGACATGATGGGAAGCGACCGAGTTGTTCCTCAGCTGCCAGCAGCCCCGTGCTGGGAGAGATGCCCCGTGGGTGGGAGCTGGGGTGCTCCACACACAAAACCCCCCCCAGAGCCTCCTCTGGCAACGTGAAGCGCTTGTGCTGGGAACGGCGCGTGTCCGCGGTCCCTCGGTCGGAGGACGCCGGGGCGCGGCGCGGAGGTGACGAGCATCGCGGTGGCTTTGAACCAGACAGGCCTGACGCAAGCGTGCTAATAACGGCTGATTTTTCTTCTCTTTTTCTTTTAGCTATGTCTGGGCTTGTAGTCCCGCCAATGTAAAGTCACTTTTGTTTACCTACCGTAGCACCGAGCTTCAGAGGACGGGCTTAGGGGACAAGTTTAGTATATTAAGACATGCTGATGGAAACAGTATCTTCACACAGAATCAGCAACAAATCGAAATGCTACAGAAAAAAAAAAAGAAAGACTTTGTTTAAAGATTTTATTTAAACTATTAAGAATCTACATACAAACAACCTACTTCTTCATGAACAATTCCATTTTATTGACTGAATTTTTCTCATATTTTCACATTTCTCAGTCCTGAAGAATAAGGAAAAAGCGACGCCTATTTTGTATAAAGTTTCTGATTACGTCTTGGCTATGTCTAGTACTTGCTATGTGTTGGGAGAAACTTTGTGGATGCACCATTTTGGTTATCATGAAACACTGATGAAAAATGCCTCCGAACATTTTTCTGTACTCATAACTAGATTCACAATGGTTGTGTATCTCTATAATGTGAAATATTTTTTTGTGGTGGAAAAAAGGGGGCCAAGGAGGTTATGAGCCATCAAACTGGAAAAAAAAAACAAAACAAAAAAGGATGAATATATGATCAGAAAAACACAAACCGGGGAGCGGGGGCGGGCGCGGGAGGGTTTATCATTGCTTAACTTCATCTTAATGAAATGGAACTTTGTAACTTATTGTAGTTAGAAATTGTAACTTTGATATTGAATTCTCTTGCCTTCAACAAGCACACTGACAGAGAAAAAAAAATTGCTACTGTCTGTTGGTAAAAAGAAAAAAATATACTTCCACTGCTAGAGCTTCCTGTTAAGCAAGTGTGATCTGCAACATTTTTTCAACTTTTGCTAGCACTGTATACTATTGCATTCTTAGGCTACTGTGAAGTCTATGTTTCTTGTACCAGAAAATTGTCCTTTTGACTTCTAGACCCTTCTCCCCTAATGTGTTTTGTATGTGGTTATAAAATTGTAGACTTTTGTGATTTTGCCAAAGTTGTAGCTAAATATTTATACACTTGTCTTGAATTTTTTTCAGATCCACTTAAATATTTAGAAAAGCAAATTTTATTCCTTATGAAGCCGATAAGGAATAAAATAGTCTTATTCATTGCAACACTTTCTTTCACACAAACACTTGCAGTCACTAAGGGAATTTATTTTGTAACATATCAACTATAAATATTGTATTTATCTTTGAAATTTTGTATATTGCTTTTCATATTTTTTTTTTTTTTCTTGTATGTGTTGGTTTTTGTCATGGCCTGGTATTGTGATGCTGAGAATAGCATTAAGCCAAGAACCGTTGCCTTCATGTTTTTCTTTGAAATAAATTAGCGTCCATACATTTCATTTGTACTTCATAAAGTTGCTATTATTTAGACTTCACATCCTTTTTTTTTATTTTTGAGGAAAAGTCAAATTCATTGTTTATTTTTATATTATTTTTAAGTTATCAGAACAAATAATTTTGAAAAAAAAGTTGTTTGTTGTATAGTCAAATCAAAATTGTGCCACATGGCTGTAATGAATACTAGTAGAATATGTGCATGTGATACAGCCACAAAAAAGATGAATCTGGTTTGTGGTTGCATTTCTTTTTTTTTTTTTTTTTTTTTTTTTTTAATTTTTTAATTATTTTTTTTTAAAGATTTTAAAAAGTCATTTTTAGCTGCCACCCATGACTTTGCCACATAGCTGAACTGTGTTTACTGGAAAAATTCAGAGGCCTAAAGTTTAAAATAAATTCACTTCTGATGTTTTAATTAAAATGTTTGCCACATTAACTTCTCTGATGCCTTAAAAGTGAACTTCTTTGAAGAACTCTCGTGCTGTTTTATCACAGGCTTACACCACAATTGTTAATCACTACTTCATTTGGATGATTTCTGGTGTAAAAAAAGAAAAAAGCAAAGCACAAACCTGGTGTACAATTCTATCACTCCTTTCCGTGTCTGCCTTCTGCTGCACGCTGCATTCTCCCGAGCCCCGCACTGTCCAAAAAAGACACAGGTTTCACACGAAATCAGGATCACACGTGATTTTTAAATCTTGGGGGTTTGTTTCTTTAGGTTTATTGGTTTTTTTAGGGAACTTTTTGTAACAGACCCGCAGACGACTGTACTTTTTAAACTGGAATGACCTCCATCGTGTGTCGTGGCTGTTGGTGCCAAACCCGTCGAGAGAAACATGGAGTTTTTTTTTTTACTTTGCACTAAATAGTTCGCAAGCGCAGCACTGCAAAACAGGTTGCAAACTGCAGCAGAATTCAAGTTTTAAGCAAAAAGGAGGGATCGTTGTTTTTTTTTTTTTCTTTCTGGGCAAAAATGCACATTTTAGTCAAGTGTTTCTTGAAGGGTATGAAAGAAGGCTCCAGCGTATCACAGCTGAGGAATGCTGCGCGCATCTCCTGGGCGATAACGAGTGAGGCTTAGCTAAGTGGAAAAGCCTGAGAAGTCACTTGGGAACTGAGTTGCCTCCGTTCTGTTTTGTCTGAGTAAGGTTTTGCTCTAACGAAGAGGTCACGTGTACATGTTGAGAAAGTTTGCAAGTTTCTTCATAAATGCAACCTGTTTGTGTTTTAGATTACTTAGTCGATGCACTCATTGCTTCATTGTCTCCAGACGGAAAGCTTCACTAAATGGTAGATTTTACTGTTAAAGACCCTACAATAAGATTGTTTTATCTGTACATTTTTTCATATATTTAACTGTATAAAAAATGTTCATTTTACACAATATTTAATTAAAGTATTTCTTGTCTGTGAATTTCATTTTTAGTAATTTTATCTGGTTTGATTATTAAAAAAGTGACTAAACACAAAACAAAAAAACCGCAACACTGGGGGTTTCATTTCTAAATATCAGAATTTGAAGTTAAGTCTTGGTTAAGAAAAAGCACAACCCTTGACGCGGGCTTTTCGGTGCCCCAGCACAGCCAGCCCAGGCAGCCCCCGAGGATGAGGAGGAAGGAGACCTTCACTCCGCAGCCCAGCAATGACTTGTTGCTCAGCCTTGCTGAGGTATTTAACGAAAACTGTACTTCAGACACCCTTTTTGTAAAGTGAAGGTAATACTGGAGTAATTTTTTCTATTTTAATAGCATACTGTAAAAATCTGTAAGCAGGAAAAGTTATTTTAAAGATAGCATAACCCAAATTTTCCGTGCTGCAGTTTGACACTGAAGGTCGATGTACTCTTTCAGATGCTGAGCAGGAAGCAAAAGCTTTTGCTAATTATGATACTGAACACAAATATTTCATCCTCTGGACTGTCGTATGTCGAAGGTCGATGTACTCTTCTTTCAGATGCTGAGCAGGAAGCAAATGCTTTTGGTAATTATGATACTGAACATAAATATTTCATCCTCTGGACTGTCGTATGTGCCATGTACATATAATGTCCTTGAAGTATCGGTATAGCAAGGTGGGCAGGACTCAGCCTCCTCGTCGGAGGCGGTTTTTTGTGGGAGACAGGTACCATGCGAAGCCTGAAGTACAGGTCCAAGTTCCCTACCCCAGCTGCCAAGAGTGTGCCTGCAGCGCTGTGTGTGACCACAGCCACCAGCAAAAGAAGTATTTGTACCAGAATATGGGCCTGCCTGAGCAGGCAGAGCTGGTAAATTAATCCTGGTAAAGTAGGGGAGTTCGTTACGCGAGTTTTGACCTGTCGTTAACCAGAGGGCTGCTGACAACTTCGAGAGGACGCTGAGAAACTCCGAAGTAAATGTATGTACCTGTGTATGTGCATATACTGCCCAGCGACATGGCGTCTGCCTGAGTCTCTCCTTCGTCCCCCTGTGCTTCAGCCGTGAAGTGATGGAGTGTGATGAGAAGGTGCAGCTTACTGTAGTCAAAGACGGGAAACCAGGATATTTAACTATGTTTCTTTCTCTAATGTTTCCATATATTTTATGTTTCATGAAAAAGGATGTCAGAAATATAGAGCACTTTGTATTATTATTATTATGCACTGACAGCTGTTCTACTTTCAGTATGTATCTGTGTATCATGTTTAAACGGTGGCATAATCAGATGCATCCCACTAAAAAATAAGATGGTTTATAGGGATGAAAGTCTGCATGATGCCTGCTGGCATTTGTCCTTTAGGTTTATTTCAAAGGTTTGAATAACGAGCATCTGAACGGTTCGTCTAACTTTCAACGCAAAGAAAATACAAAAGAAGAAAACCCATACATTTTGTGCTAGGAATGACAAGTCCTAGAGCAATCCACCGCCGACGACACAGCCCTATCTGTAAGCTGGCAATAGCCCTGGTGAGAAAATATGTTGTGTCAGCCCACAGCGAGTGTAGACATAGGAAGATGATAAAAATTCCTTAATCAAAATGAAGGAACAGAGTCTCTAAAAGTATATGCCAGTTATTGCAGAGCAGCTTTTTAAAGTCTTTCAAGCTTTTAAAGATTATTCAAAGCACTTGAAATAGGCTTCAATCTAATGCCTCATTTCATTGCATTAAACAGCCTAGTTAATAAAGAATCAATATATTCAAAGGGCAAGGTTATCTTTTGTCTATAAGGGGTGGTGTCATTCTGAACCTTTTATAGTTCAAATGCTGAAAAAGACCTCATGAAATCCATACTCATCAAGTGGGTCAACTAGAGCAATAAAGAGGCCCCTGAAAGAATGGCTGCGCTCCTTTAAAACAACTATAAGTCTTATCTCCCCGCATGGCGCTCGCCAGGCTCCGCCAGAAAATGTCAATTTCTCATCAAGACAAGAGGCCCAACGATAATTTTTTTCTAGAGAATACACACAATTAGGAGAATGCAGAAAGGCCCCATCGGTGATTTGTAGCTTATTATGTCACCAGCAAGCTGCGATCCGCCGCTAAGCAGATAATAAGGGCTGTTGATAACTAAAGTGTCGATACGCCAAAGAACGATTTTTGAATGTGAGCCCTTGTGCTTTTTTTTCCCCTCCTCATGCAGATCGCGGGGCCGATAACAGTGCATCTGCCAGCTGACACCTCCTGTTGGACCTCGCAATTAATGCCGTGAATAAATAGCACAAAAGAGTTTGGATTCTTTATACTCTTTGAGACAATTCCCTGTTTTACCCTTCAAGGAGTTCCTTTATGTTCGAATAAGGTTGCTTTTAATGAAATTTAAACTCATCAGAGGAAATCAAAACCCTCAAAT